TAAGTGTCCTACCTGCCACAGTAAGTGTCCTACCTGCCACAGTAAGTTCACCTGACAATCATAGTCCACCTGTATGTATACTTTCAGCTTCAGCGTTTGATTTGATTAATTAAATGCTTTAAAATTCACCCAGCTGCCTCTGTCTTGTCAGTTGACACTAATGTCCTCGTTTGTTTCCATTGTCACGTCATTTCACTTTTGATTTGCAGACGAGATTTTCTTTAAAAATCATGAGCAATTCCAAATTTTATCCCTACCACAACTCTGGGACTGATCAATTCTATTTTGAATTGTTTAACCCTTATGATTTTAGACACATTCTTCCTCAGGAAATTATTTAAAACCTTGAAAACCTTGGCTGAATGCAGAGGTGCGTACCCTGCTGGAAGCCAGGAACACTGCCTTCAGGTCTGGAAACTCAGAGGAGCTGAGTAGGACAAGAAAAGAGCTGGTTGCTGGTATTAAGAGGGCCAAGGCCACATATGCAAAGAGGATCGAGGGTCAATTCATCTCACAAGACCCTCGGAGCATGTGGAGGGGCATTAAGTGCATAACAGATTATAAAGGAAGGAGCGAACAATGTCCCAAAGACCCATCTCTGCCTGATGCCCTCAACAAGTTCTATGCACGCTTTGAAGACCCAAACAGACCACCCAGCACCAGACTCACCTCGCCACCGGATGAAGAGCATCTCAGCGTGACCTCAGCAGAAGTAAGGAGTACTTTCAGGAGGATTGATCCGCACAAGGCAACTGGCCCAGACAACATCCCCGGAAAAGTGTTGAAGGAATGTGCTGATCAGCTCTGTGAGGTGCTGGCAGACATCTTTAACACCTCACTTACCCTGGAGACAGTTCCCACCTGCCTGAAGACTGCCACCATCATCCCAGTCCCAAAAAGCTCTACAGTGACTGGTCTGAATGACTATCGGCCAGTGGCCCTCACCCCGATAGTCGCTAAATGCTTTGAAAAACTGGTCATGACTCACATCAGAACAACCATCAACATCAACGAGGACCCTCATCAGTACGCATACCGTGAGAACCGATCAACAGAGGATGCCATCTCCTCTGTGGTCCACACTGCACTCAACCACCTGGAGCAGAAAAACTCTTACGTCCGTATGCTCTTTGTGGACTTCACATCCGCCTTCAACACCATGATCCCCCAAACCCTGATGGACAAACTATCCACACTAGGACTAAGCCCCTCCATCTGCAACTGGGTACTAGACTTTTTAACAAACAGACCACAGTTAGTGAGGATCCACAACCTCTCCTCCTCCACCATAACCCTCAGCACTGGCTCTCCTCAGGGATGTGTGTTGAGCCCCCTCCTGTTTACTCTGCTCACGTATGATTGTGCAGCTACCCATCCAGGCTGTCACATTGTAAAGTTTGCAGATGATACAGCGGTGGTGGGATGCATCACAAACAATGATGAGTCCAGCTACAGGCAGGAGGTGGAACACCTGGAGAGCTGGTGCAGAGAGAATAACCTTCACATCAATGTGAAGAAGACAAAGGAGATGATTGTGGACTTCAGAAGGAACAAAAACACCTACACCCCCCTGAACATAAGAGGATCTGCGGTGGAAGTGGTCTCCAGCTACAAGTACTGGGGTGTACACATGAATGACAACCTCAGCTGGAGCAACAACACCACCAGCCTGATGAAGAAAGCTCATCAGAGACTCTACTTCCTCAGGCGGCTGAGACGAGCTGGTCTGGAAGCTCAGTCCTCACCTCCTTCTACAGGTGTGCAGTGGAGAGCATCCTGTGCTCGAGCATCAATGTGTGGCATGGAGGCTGCACAGCTGCAGACAGGAAAGCTTTGCAGAGAGTGGTGAAGGCTGCACAGAAATCTGTTGGAATCAGTCTCCCCACCATCACAGACATCTACACCTCCAGATGCAGGAAGAGGGCCACCTGCATCATGAAGGACCCCACCCACCCAGCACACACACTTTTTGCCCCACTCCCCTCAGGAAGGAGGTTAAGGAGCATTAAGTGTAGAACCACTAGACTGAGGAACAGCTTCTACCCTGAGGCTGTTAGACTCATGAATCTCTAACTAGAATAATCACTGTGGAAAACCATATCATGTTGCTGCTGATCTGTTTCATGTTGCTGCTGATCTGTTTCATGTTGCTGCTGATCTGTTTCAATGTTGCTGTGTTCATGCGTGCACATCTGCTCACAGACTCATGTTCATGTTTGTGCTGATGTTCAATGTTTTATGTTATGAGTGCTTAGTGTATATTTAGTTGATGTTTTTCTTAGTTCATATCTTAGATGTTATTACTGTTTTTCTTATACATTTTATTGTTGGATGTAACTGGGACCCTGTGTACATAATTTCGCTCCACCACATGTACCACATGAGGTGCGAATGACAATAAAGAAACTCTGACTCTGATTTAATGAGAAGATACTTTTTATTTAAAGGAAATCAGTTTTATTTGGTCTCCGTTAGGATTATTTTTCCTCACACATATCAACAAGACTACCACTGCATCTCACCTAACTCCATTTATTTATAAAATAACACACAAGAGTATTTTAGGAAGGAACAGAAATGCTCCCAGAACCTGTTGACTTGGGGTTTGGAGACCAAGACCTCCTCATCAGACAAGGCTAAACATTTACTACTATAAAGGTTTTACAGTAACTGGTTAAACTAATAAAAAGTAGCAAATATTACTAGTAACTATTTGTTTGATTGACTTTAACCTTTTGCGATGTTTATTCTGTTTTGCAGATATTCTTGACAACAGCAAAGCCATCTCAGATGAATGCAGAGGAAAGGTAGGAAAGATGGTTTTGAGCAGAAAAAGTTTTTACTGGTTGAACTATTTTTATTTAGTAATGAGCACAGCAATTCATATCATTAGACGCAATACTCAAAGTTCCCGTGGATTATAGTCACTGAACAATGTTTGACAGAAGGCCTCGTCATTTATCTTAAATCATTTCAACTGTAAATCCTTGAAGACCGTTGGTTCACGTCAACTGCGATGACAACACATTATCGTGCAAAAGCTCAGACTTTAAGTCAGTTTTACAACAACAACCAAAAAAAACAGTTTTCTTCTATGATTAAAATGGTTGCTCAAATATAAAAAAATATATATTTATTTATTATTTTTCTTTTCTTTTCAAATTTAGGGAATTAAAAAAAGTGTTTAATTTATTTGACTTTCTTGCATTAGTCTGCCATCTAGTGGTTGAAATGAGAACTGCAGATTGACAGTGAAGACAAGTGGTTCTTTACTGTTGTAAAAACTTTTAAATACACTTTAATTCAAATTTTTTGTATCTGGGGGGTAAAATGTTTTTGCACGTACCAGTGACCGTCCAGGTTTATCTCAGTGCTCTCTGCTCAGTTAATTATCTCCCGTCTCTCTCAGCTGGATGAACTCCTCAAGACGTATTATCCCATCGAGATCGACTCGTCACTGTCTGTAGAAGAGAAGCTGCCTCTGATGGTGGAGTGGTGAGTGTTCATCTCTGACGTTTACCGTGAAACACTCCGGGTTGTTCCAGTGTTGCTTTGGGGGCAATATCCTCACCGCTATGTGCAAATCTCACAGGTGGACCAAAGCTCACGACCTCCTGGTGGAGCAGAAAATCAGAAAGGACCAGCTGGCTGAGGCGGTGCGCGAGTCTGAAGCCAGGCTGAGGTCAGAACTTCTCGCAGCCTTTGTGTTTGATTCCTGAGAGCGGTTCGTGACGCAGAGACTTTCTGTCCGTTTGCTTGAACAGGGACGGCTACGAGCTCTTCTTTGACCACCTGCACGAGCACGGCGTGCCTCTGCTCATCTTCTCCGCCGGAATCGGAGACATCCTGGAAGAGGTGATTCGGCAATTTAACGTCTACCACTCCAACGTCAAGATCTTCTCCAACTACATGGACTTTGACGAGTCTGTGAGTCGTCGCGCACGTGTTCGGATTTCCTCCTAAAAGCAGGGATTCGGAGCATAATTGGTCTTCATCTGTTTGGACAGGGGGCGCTGAGGGGCTTCCAGGGAGAGCTGATTCACGTCTACAACAAAAGGGAAGGCGCGCTGCTGAACACGGGCCACTTCCAGGAGCTACGGACACGACCCAACGTGCTGCTGCTCGGAGACTCTCTCGGGGATCTGAACATGGCCGATGGAGTTCAGGATATGCAGAGCATCCTCAAGATCGGGTTCCTCAACGACAAGGTTTGTTAAAGACCGTCGTGTTGGTCACGGTGGTTTCATTACATCGCTCAGCTCGAGCTTTCCTTGTTGCTTCTAGGTGGAGGAGAGAAAACCGTCCTACTTGGACTCATTTGACATCGTGTTGATAAAAGATGAAACGCTGGAGGTCCCCAACGCCATTGTTCATTATCTCACTGGTAACAAGTGAGCTGCGTTCTGGCCACACCCAGAAACCACAGCGGAGCCGTGCGTCTTCAACTGGGGCCTGTGGGATTTTTACTCGAGAGTTACGTGATGGGTTCGTTTTCTGGACTGAAACCTTCACACGCCTGCGTGTGCATGTGTGTGTGTGCATGTGTGTGTGTGCGTGTTGGAGGAGCCGGTTCACACTCGAGCACAGTTTGTTGTTCCAAGTGTTTTTCATGTGTTGAGTTACGCCCCAGAGTTCTGGTTTTATTACAGATTTAAAGACGGTTAAACGTCTCGATTTAAAGCCTCTTGTACGTTAAAGCACCGACTTAACCTAAAACCTGCAGCATTTCAGCTGCTGCTCGTCTGAACACAAGAAGCTTGTGATGTTTAAAGAATCATCTGAACACAAGAAGCTTGTGATGTTTAAAGAATCGTCTGAACACAAGAAGCTTGTGATGTTTAAAGAATCGTCTGAACCTCAGTTGTGATGAAATGGACAAAAAAAACGCAGCTCGATTCCACGTCGGAAGAATGAGTTTGAACTAGAAGAGCCTCTTTATTTTTAGAGTTAAATACTTTCGGTTTAAACTCTTTAAACGTTTTGTCTGATATTAGATTTGGTTTAATATTTCAGTCTGTTGTAAAACATGAATTTGTACAAGCAGTAATTAAAACTAAAGTTAGTCTACGTTTTGTTATAAAAGTTTATTTTGTCTTAAAATATGGTAATGTGTCCCATTTTAGATACGGTCGTACCAAATGAACTGTTCAGTGGTTTTTAATCATTTCTATTCTAATACGGAGACAAAATATACATTTATATCCCAAACTGGCATTTTTAAGACACGCGTTCATAAATAAAACATTTAGTCTTTTACTGTGGACGTATTTGTCATTTTTCTTAATTATTTTAAAACATCTGTTTAAAGTCCACTCTCCATGATGAAAACTTTTTGTTCTGCTGGATTGAACCCGAACGTCTCCAACAGTTAATATCTAAATAGTTTTAGTTGTTTTACGAGTCGAGTGCTGAAAATAATTAAATAAAAAGGCAAACCTTAAAAAACAAACATGTAAAGTTAAATGTTTTTTCACTGTGCAGGAGGGAGCAGCACAGTTCAGGCCATTTTTCCACGTCTTCACATTTTAACTTTATAAACGTTTTTTTTTTTATAAAACTTGCGTTCCGGTTGCCATGGCAACACGTTCAGTTCATCTGTTCATAGCTCGTCTCGTCTCGCTTGTTCAGACTCTTCGTCCTCCTTCAGTTCGTCCTCTGTAATTTTCCCGTCTTTATTGCGGTCCTGATGATCAAACATGTCTTTAAGAACGCTGTCGACGTCGACCCCTGGCCGAAGTCGACCTTTGCCCTCTGTAACTTGCAGTCTGATGAACTCTGAAAACTGTTGAAAGCAGATTATTAAAAAAACAATAATAATTAAAACCAGAACAACTGTGTGTACGAACCTCTTCTAGTGGGACCTCTTTGTCCCGGTTCAGGTCCAGGGCATCGAAGAGCGGATCAGGACCGTCTCCCATCCACACAAACATGTAGCCTTGAGGAACTCCTTTGTGCAGCTCCACCAGCTCCAGTTCAAAACGGAGAACTGCACTTCTGGGAACTCCTGCAGCTGAAGGCAACAAGAAAACTAGAATTTAACTGAAGAAACTGCATTTCCTGTGAAACTGCACTGTGAATGCTTATTGCAGAAGAAACAGCTGAAGTTAGCTAAAAAAAAACATGCTGAAATGGTAGAACGAGTTAGCAGAAGAAAGCAGAAATAATACATATTTGTTAAATTGGGTTTAAATAAGAAATTAGCACAACAATTAGGAAATTAGCTAAAAAAGATAAAATTAGCAACAACAACAACAAAAAAAAACAGCTGAAAAGGCAGAAAGAAGCTTAAAATATCAGAAGGAAGTGGAAGGAGCTGAAATGAGCTAAAAAAAAAAAAGGTGGAATTATTGGGCTGAGTGGTTCGAGCAGTCCTCCAATGCAAGAGTTGGGGGTTCAAATCCACCAGCAGTCACATGCTGAAGTGTCCCTGGGCAAGACACTGAACCGTCTGTGCGACCCATCGGAGTACGAGTGTGATAAAACTTCTCTTTCGAATCATTTGTTCAGTTAGCTTTGTACACATCTAGTAGAGTGAACAGCTAAATGAGCCACAGATTATGTTGTAAAGCTCTTTGAGCATCAAGACAGAAAGGCGCTACACAAGTACCGTCCATTTTAGCTGAAAAAGCTAAATTTAGCACAACAGCTAAAAGGCAGCTGAAATAGTAGAAAAAGCTGAAAGGAGCATAACAAGCTGAAATTAGCTTAAAGAAGTTAATGAGGCTGAATGTAGCAGAAATTACCAGGAAAAACTTGAATTTATCTTAAAACAGCTTAAATTAGCTAAAAAGTAGCTGAACAGGTAGAACAAGCTTAAATTAGCAGCAGAAATAACACGTTTGCTTAAAGAAGCAGACATGAGCACAAAAAAGTGGAAATTATCTGAAAAAAGCTGAAATTTGCAAACAGCAGAAAAGTAGCTAAAAAAGCAGAAATAAGCTTAAAATACAGAAGGAAGTGGAGAGAACTTTTTTTTTTTTGCTGAATTAGGCTGGAAATTTTAAAATGAGTGCAAAAAATGTAGAATTAGCTAAAAAAAAATTCAAATTAGCATAAAAACAGCTAAATAGTAGCTAAAACGGTAGAAAAAGCTGAAACTTGCAGAAATAAGCTGAAAGGAGCATAACAAGCTGAAATTAACAGAAAGAAGATAGAAGCACAAAAATGTTAGCAGAAAAATTCTGAAAGGCACAAAACAGCTGTAATTAGCTGAAAGCAGCTGAAAAATTTGCACAAAGAGCTGAAAGAAGCTGAAGCAGAACAAAATGTGAAAGGAGCAGTAACGGGTTTTAAACAGACGTGAAGAGCTGAAGGATGGAAAATGAGCTCTGTTCATTTTCTATGAGAAACAAACGTCAGAAAAGACTAAATACACGAGTCCCTCGTTTATCGTGGGGGTTCTGTTCTCATTTAGAACCGTAGGTCACGATCCCTCTGCCAGCGCACTCGGCCACGCCCACTTCTCTGCTGCACGGCGGCGCTCACATGCTGCAGGAGGGAGCTTCTCCCTGCACATGTGCTAAATAATTAAATAATAATTTATTTTTTAATCTGCACGTCGCTCTTGCAGCTCATCCATCATTCAGCCAGTTGTGCGTCGGGTCCACGTTACTTTGAAACACCGCGAGTCTGCGACAGTCGAGCGGCGAAGTACTGAGGGACGACTGCATTTCAAAAAGCTAATGTTGCGCGTCTCCTGAACGAGCTGAACCTTTTCATATACGATTCGTTGAAACAGCAAAAAACTGATGTGAATCGCGGCGTCAGTGCGAACGCCTCATTCAAACTGTGACCGGTCAAACTAAAGTATTTTAAAAATCTGTTCACAAGATATTTTTGCTAAAATAAAAGAGCATTTCTAAGACCTCACCTCCATTTTCACCATGAGCCCAGTGAGGAGGAACCACCACCTCTCTCCTCTCCTGCACACACATGCCCTTCAGACCCTCCTCCAGACCCAGAATCACCTTACTGGCTCCCAGAGTTGTGACGGAAGGCGAGCCGTACTGGTCCCTGCAACGCCACAAAAAAACCTCAACTTTAATACAAGCCTTCAGTGAAGCTGCAGCTGTACACGCCGTTGTCACGGAAACAGAAAGGTTAGCTCCCGGTCCACGCCTGTGGGACACCGAGCCAGAGATGATTACATGCAGGCAGGCGCAGGATGCAGAGCGAACAGCAGGAGGCGCTCACGAGGAGTACAGCAGCGTGCCGTCCATCAGGGAGCAGTTGTAACGATAGTGAATCAAATCGTCCGCTTCACTGGTGGCGTTGCAGTCGTGAGGCTTGTGGGCGACTCTGATCTCGACGGGATCTTTGGGGTTGTGGAAGTCGATGACGTGGATGTCAAAAACCAGCACAGCAGAGCCAGGAATCAAGTTTCCTGCAGCCAAAGAAGATTTGTGACTTTGTGTTCGTTTCTCCGTCTGAACGCCGGCGTCGAACTCACCGACTCCCTCCTCCCCGTACGCCATGTGAGGAGGAACGACGATCCTCCTCCTCTCTCCCATGCAAAGGCCCTGCAGAGCTTTGTCCATCCCTCGGATCACGTATCCCTTCCCCACGTACGTGTTGTAGGTGCTGTTTCGCTGGTAGCTGTCAAAACAACCAACTCGAATTGAAACAAACTCTTCATTTAGTCTAAACGACAACAACCGCATCTTCACCTCGAGTCGAAGGCCGTGCCGTCCTGGAAGGTTCCGTTGTAGTGGTAGCGGATGTAATCTCCGGCCACCGTCCGGCGCGCGCAGCCTTCAGGAACCTCCTTCACCTCCGCAGTCACATCGTCGTTGGGGTTAAACACGTCGACCATCAGCACCTCGAACACCAGCGTGGCCTGAGGGGGCACCTTGGTTCCTAACGTGCAGGTTTTCAAACGTACAACTGAATATTCGTCCCGTACGGAAACGTTCGTTACTTCTCTACGAACTTTAACGATGTTCACGAAAGTTGTCTCCAAACATTCTCTTGCCCTCCGTCTCCTCGACTCACTGGTGTTCAGAAAGTGAGGAGACGGAAATCTCGTTGCTCCGAGGATTTTAACGTGCTCGTTGCAACGTGCGAAATTGCAATTCCTGCACAAATGCAGTGTGAATGCTTATTGAGGAAGAACTTGCTGAGAAACAGCTGAAATGAGCTAAAAACGTGCTGAAATGTAGCTGGAATTCATTCACTCAACCTTTATTTAGACAGATTTATCCCACTGAGCCTCGAGGACTCGTTTAAATGAAATGAAAGAACAAGCCCAAGGTAGCAGAAGAAAGCAGAACATTTGTTGAATAAGGTTTAAATAAGCAGAACAAAAATAAGGAATTTAGCTAAAAATAAGCTAAAATTAGTAATAAATAGTTGAAAAGTAGCTAAAAAAAAAAGCAGAAAGAAGCTTAAATTAGCAGTAGGAAGTGGAGAGAGCACAAATGTATCCAATTAGGCTGAAAGAAGCAGAAATGAGCACAAAGAAGTGGAAATTATCTGAAAAAGACAAGAATTTGCCGAAAACTGCTTAATAGTAGCTAAAACAGCAGAAAGAAGCTTAAATTACCAGAAAAGTGGAGAGAGCACAATTTTGCTGAATTAGGCTGAAAAAAGTTGAAATGAGTGCAAAAAAATGTGGAATTAGCTGAAAATGCTAAAATTAGCATTAAAAACAGCTAAATAATAGCTGAATTAGCAGAAATAGGTGAAACTTGCATAAATAAGCTGAACGCATCATAACAAGCTGAAATGAGCAGAATGAAGTTAGAAAAAGCTCAAAATTGTTGTAGTTAACAGAATAAAGCTGAAAGGTTCACAGAACAGCTGAAAAAAAAAAGCTGAAATCAGCTGATTTTTTTATTTTTTTTTGCACAAGGAAGCCAAAAGAGGCTGAAGCAGAAAGGAGCAGTAAAAGGTTGTAACACATCTAAAGATTTGAAGGATGTAAAATGAGCTCAGTTCATTTTCTGAGGAAAAAAGTGGCAAAAAGGCGAAATGTTTCAAAAAGCTAAAGTTGCAGCAACAAAAGTCAGAGCAGGATTGTCCTGAAAGAGCCGAACGTTTTGATTTGATTTGATGAAATAGCACAAAAACTGTGAAACCTTGTGAAACAGTGGATGCTGAATAACGTACGGAACAAACCAGTAATAGATAAAGTAGTCATAATAATAATAATAATAATAATAATAATAATAATAATAATAATAAATATAAACAGGAAAACAATATTAAGCATTCACACAATAATCCTAAAGAAATAAAATCTGCACGTCTTTGTTCTCATACGTCCTTCAATTAAAAGTCTGACTGCAAAACAAAACGTGTGAACAGCTGCCAATCACCACGTTGTTTACCTACAGAAACAGCCGAAGTGACAGAAAATAAGTCGGCAGAGGCAACGTGGACAGGAGAGCTGTTTGAGACCGAGGCTCGGCAGTTTTGATGCGTTGGAGCATGTTTACGCTCAGATCCGTTAAGTCAAGTAGGTAGGTACAAGTGCTTTGTTTACATTGGGTGCAGACCCACATTTCAAAATTACAGATCAACAGAACCTGAAAAATATTGGTGTCAACTCTTTCAAACTGCACCATTTCATATAGTTTAAGGTCAGGGTTCCCAACACTGGTCCTTGAGGAACACCATCCTGCACGTTTTAGTCGTTTCTCCGCCATGACACACCTGGTTTTAATGAAAGGTGATTAACAGGCTTCTGCAGAGCATGAGGAAGTAACGAAATCACTGAATCAGATGTGTTGGAGCAGGAAACAACTAAAACATGCAGGATGGTGTTCCTCAAGGACCAGGGTTGGGAACCACTTGATTTCCAAAATTTCAACGAGTGTCACGCTTTAGACAGAGCCCAGGTGGACTTTCCTGGCAACCAACAGCCCAGGAGGGTGAACAGAAACGATTACGGTGTGAAACCGTTTGCTGAATATTAGTTTTTACCGTGGCCGCTTTCTCCATACGCCAGAAAAGGTGGGACGATGATGATCCGTCTCTCCCCAACACACATGCCCAGGAGACCCTCGTCCAGCCCTTTGATGAGGTCGCCCTGCCCCAGGTACGTGTCGTAGGTTGAATTTCTAGAATAACTAATTAAAAAGCAATAAAAAAGGTCTTGAGAAACAAAGAAGTATTAAAAGTCCTTCACATAAATCAGAGGTGAGCTCCACCTGGAATCAAAGGTCTCTGCAGACAGCAGCGTGCCGTTATAGCGATAACGAATAAAATCTGATGCTGCGCTGGTTCGGCTGCAGCTCGCAGGTTTGCTGACCGTACGGATCTGGACCTTGTCCTCCGTGTTCCAGACGTCCAGCAGGAGGACGTCGTACACGAGCGTGGCGTCAGGGGGAATCACCCCACCTGTGGGGACAAGCACACTCGAGTCAGCTGGTGGGCGACGTGAAACAGCTAAAGAGACGTGAAACAGCTAGAGACGTGAAACAGCTAAAGAGACGTGAAACAGCTAGAGACGTGAAACAGCTAAAGAGACGTGAAACAGCTAGAGAGACGTGAAACAGCTAGAGACGTGAAACAGCTAAAGAGACGTGAAACAGCTAGAGACGTGAAACAGCTAGAGACGTGAAACAGCTAGAGACGTGAAACAGCTAGAGACGTGAAACGGCTAGAGACGTGAAACGGCTAGAGATGTGAAACGGCTAGAGAGACGTGAAACGGCTAGAGAGACGTGAAACGGCTAGAGACGTGAAACGGCTAAAGAGACGTGAAACGGCTAAAGAGACGTGAAACAGCTAAAGAGACGTGAAAGAGCTAGAGATGTGAAACAGCTAGAGATGTGAAACAGCTAGAGACGTGAAACAGCTAGAGACGTGAAACAGCTAGAGACGTGAAACAGCTAGAGACGTGAAATGGCTAAAGACGTGAAACAGCTAAAGAGACGTGAAAGAGCTAGAGATGTGAAACAGCTAGAGAGACGTGAAACAGCTAAAGAGACGTGAAAGAGCTAGAGATGTGAAACAGCTAGAGACGTGAAACAGCTAGAGACGTGAAACGGCTAGAGACGTGAAACGGCTAGAGATGTGAAACGGCTAGAGAGACGTGAAACGGCTAGAGACGTGAAACGGCTAAAGAGACGTGAAACGGCTAAAGAGACGTGAAACAGCTAAAGAGACGTGAAAGAGCTAGAGATGTGAAACAGCTAGAGATGTGAAACAGCTAGAGACGTGAAACAGCTAGAGACGTGAAACAGCTAGAGACGTGAAACAGCTAGAGACGTGAAATGGCTAAAGACGTGAAACAGCTAAAGAGACGTGAAAGAGCTAGAGATGTGAAACAGCTAGAGATGTGAAACAGCTAGAGACGTGAAACAGCTAGAGACGTGAAACAGCTAGAGACGTGAAACAGCTAGAGACGTGAAATGGCTAAAGACGTGAAACAGCTAAAGAGACGCTGTTTGAGGATTGAGACCTGTTCCTATGCTTCCATAGGCCAGATGTGGTGGGACGGTGATCTTCCTACGCTCGTTGACACACATGCCCTGCAGACCCCGGTCCATCCCCGTGATGAGTTTGCCCAGACCCACCTGACTGATCAAGGCTTTGCCTCGATCAAAGCTGCACAGAACGGGATGGAGAACACAGAAACTGTTTGAATCAAACCAAATTAATATTTATACAAGTCACATACGAATAAACTTGTAACAAATACTGAGTTTCTTCACATAAAGGTAATTTCTGGTGTAAAATATAATCGAAGTGATTTGTTTCATTGCGTTAGACTGACACGTCTGCACTGCAGCATCCACCAGGAAGACCCGTGAACCGGATCAGAACCAGCACCGTTTAAGGTCAAAACATTTAAACTGCTTTGAACTTCTGATTTCACCTGGAGTCAAACTTCTTTCCGTCTTCGAAGGAGCCGTTGAAGTGATAACGGATGAAGTCCTCCGTCTGCACCTCGCGGGGACAGAGAGTCGGGACGTCGTAGCGGTCCACGACGACGTCCACCAGCTGTCCCGGGCTGCAGCGCGCGACGTGGACGAAAAGCACAAGTTTAAAACATTTCATTAAATCCATCTGGAAACCAGCAGAGGCTCGGCTCCGTTTGTCAGCAGGAGAAAAGGCAGGAAAAAAAAAAAACCGCGAGGAAAGTCATGTGAAGCAAACCGGAAGAAGTAATGCAGCTTCCGCTAAGGGGTTTCAAAATAAGAGTCCGGATTGACATTAGAACGAAACGAGTTTTCAACTCGACTTTTGAAGTTTTTTTTTTCTTTTAAAAACATTTAAAGAAGTTTAATTATCGTTTAGATAATATTAACTCAATTTAAATAAAGGATTTTTTAAAAAGCTCAAGATGTTATGTGCATAAACATCAAACAAAAATTAAAAATAAACCGACTGCTATTTATGTATTTGAAAAGGGTTTGTCTAAAAAAACTACAAGTATCATTTAAAAATGACCAATTTCTTCAAATGAAATAAAATGCATAAAAACAGATTCATCTGACTCATTGTGACTTCAAACATAAAGCGTTTATTCTGAACTGAATCAAATGGGGCAGTTTGAAAGTTTACTCCTGTAGTTTCCAGATACGTTTGACTTTTATTTTTATATTATTTAATCTTTATTTATCAAGGTAGTGTCTTTAAGTCACGAGGACTCATTTCTGAGAAAGAGTTGTATACAAATTAGAAATGTGGGTACACACTCGATGTAAACATTTATCTCCGTACTCAACTGATGTGACACGTGTCGACAAAATAAATGAATGAACAAATCCTGCAGCACAAATAATGAAAAATATTAGAAATTTACTTTTAAATTATTTCATAAATCAATCAACCTTTATTTAGAAAGGTAAATCCTGTAAATAAAGACGCCATCTAGAGCCCAGAAACTAGAACATATTATCGTCCTACTCTACATTTAAATCAAAGTTTTCTAACATGCATGTCTTCAGAAATAATTCTAATCTTTTTACTTTCCTTTGAAATTCTCTGCCGGCTGCCACAACACTGGGAAATCCCTACATATAACAAATATAAATTGTTAATTTAAGGACACATTAATAATCAATATGAGACAAACAACCGTGCAGATTTTGTTTTCTAAAATGGGTTCAGGTGATTACAGTATGTTAAATGAGAAATGTTGAATCCAAACACGTTTTACTTTATGCTTTTATTTATAACGTCACATCCGGTCCTGCTCTGCCTCTTTATCCTCATTTCTTGCACCTTTCCTCCTGGAGCTGCAGGAGGAGGAGGAGGAGGTGGAGGAGGTGGAGGAGTGGCCTCGGGCCCACTCCCACTTTCTAAAGGAATTCTGCAAACGTGTAAAGAAAGGCTGGTTCCGACCCGACCCATGTTTCCACTCAGGACTTCACCTGGTTTTACACATGAACGTGTCAGCCTGTTAACATCAATACTTTTAACATAAGTCTAAATTATTTGATTTTAATTTATTACACTGTTTCACATCTTAGAGAAGATTTCTCTGGTGCGTTAAAACCGTTCAAACATAAACAAATTAACTTTTTTTTTATTTCTACAGATTAATCCCATTGAGCCTCGAGACCTGATTTAACAAAGAATCATGACAACAATGGACAACAACAACAAACAGTTATAAAAAGGCATACAGATTTATTTATTTTAACAAATTAACCACATTTGCATGAATAACGAAAATAAATATAATTAAAAAAAGTTCAAAACAATAAGCCAATTTATGTTTATTTACTTAAGATTAAAGTTTTTGCTTAAATAAAAATAAATCCATGTTGTGAATGTTGTGACTGGAAAAACCTGAAGAAAATTGGACCTTTTCCTCCTGGAGGTCCAGATGTTTTTTTTTTTTGTCAAGTTCCAGCAGATGTGGGCTGTTTACACCGGAAGTACCACGTTGCTCCTTCACAGTAATAGTCACGCGCCGCTTCTTTTGAGCCACCGGGCACTGAACGCTGAATAAGCAATAAAATACCGCAGTAACAGTAAGTAAATACATATTAATTATATAAGTGATAGATATGTAGTTTTTAAAGATTTCTCCCAGAACAAATTCAGATTTTGTTTCTTGGAAGTGTGGCGTTTTAAAAAGCTTTTAATTTGAAGTTCCTACCCGCAGAGTTGCGGTTTCAGAGATTTCTTCAGGGAGGTCACAGCCTACGTGCAGGCGGACATGAGCGGCCCCCGGTAACCGTCTCCGGCTCCATTCAAAGGCAGAAGAGACTCCGGTCGGAGCCGGCGGAGGGGAACGATGCTCCCGAGAAGCCCGAGCCTGGCCCTCCTCCTCCCGGCCCTGCTGCTGCAGCTGCGGCCGCTGGACGCCCAGTACGAGAAGTACAGCTTCAGAAGTTTCCCCCAGCAGGACGTCATGCCGCTGGAGTCCGCCTACAACTACGCGCTGGAGCAGTACGCGGAGCAGAACTGGGCCGAGAGCGTGAAGTACCTGGAGCTGAGCCTGCGGCTCCACCGGCTGCTGCGGGACAGCGAGGCGTTCTGCGGCCGCAGCTGCAGCTCGGAGAGCCGGGAGCACGAGCCGCCGCGCCCCGACGCCAGCCTCCGGCTCGTGCGCCACATCCTGCTGAGAGCTGCGTGTCTCAAAAAGTGCAAGGCGGGTTTCCCCGTGTTCACGCTGCCCTACCCGCGGAGGGACTTACTGGAAACCTTCGAGAAACGGACACCGTACAAGTACATCCAGTACGCGCACTACCAGGTGAGCCCAGAGGCGTTCGGTTCGATTCCCTGCTGGAACCTGCAGACCTGACTGAGCTGCTGCCACGTCTCCTCCGGGCCCCCCCTGAAAACAATCACCTCATTCTTCTCTCGCAGCACAAAACCACCAATTTAAAGAAGTATAAATAGTAATAATGTTATCAAAGCACTGTGAGGGCCAAGAAACCTGCTCGGTAACCACCAGAAACCATAGGATCCCTAAAAACTCCAGAGATGTTACTCCAGCATCAAAACATTATTGTGAAATACTTCAATTATTGATTTTTAAAACTCACTAATAGTTATGTGACAAAGTTAAGTCAGATTCTCTGGATGGTTTATTTTGGTTGAACAGTTAATAATAGTCCACTAGTAGTTAATTTATCCTTCAGAACCTACAAGTTTTGATTTAAGTTGTTAATATGAGGTGCACAAAGAAATACGAGTGCTCTAAAGCAAATAAAAATCACACAGAGCTTTCAACAACCTGGTGATGAAAAAGTGATCCCGTCACTTCACTTCACTGCTAGGCGGCAGGTTTACTTGTGGTTCCTACAGTTTCTGAGAGCTTTCAGTTATCAGAACCAACTTCTTCTTTTTGTTTGCATCTTTCCTTTGTGGAAAAATCATATAGCTAGTGTTGGTTTGGGTTTCCTGTGCTATCCTATGGTTATGCTGCTATAGGCTTCGACTACAAGAGGACCATATTTATTCTCTCTACTGCCATCTTGAAACTCTACTCTCCACTTTTAAACATACAAATATTGCTATAGTAAACCCGGGTTTTACTTCCTATAGCAACATCATCTGGACCAGTCCTCCTGTGTCTATGACCAGTGGAGGTTAATGGGCGCCCAGCCTGAGCCTGGTTCTGCTGGAGGTGTCTTCCTGTTTAAAGGGAGTCATTCCTTCCCACAGTCTCCCCGTGCTCGATCAGGATGGGGGTGTAACGAAGTAAAGATTCATTCTGCTGGCTTCCTTAGACGACTTTACTTATTGTTATTTCATAAAGTACTGGTTGTGTTTTATCGTTGTCTGAGACGTCAGTTGTGAAATGAAGCAACACAAATAAACTAAACTTAATTTAAAAAAATATAGTTTTAGTCAACATAAGATGAACCGATCTGCTCCATCAGTGACAGAGATCTTCACAAGAACGCTTTGTAGGCCTGTCACGATAACACATTTTACTGGACGATTAATTGTCTCTGAAATTATTGCGATAAATGATAATATTGTTTGAAATTTGACAATAATTAGTAATTATTGTCAAATTTAAGAAAAAAACGATGGTGATTTTGTGTGTAGTACCTTTTTGACCACTGGATGGCAGTATAAAACAGTTTGAACCGAAGGATGGATAGTGAGGGAGCGAGCAGCGTGTCTCGAAGGAAAATGGGAGGGAGGCCCCTTGACGTGACATGGGCTGTCTCTCGTTCTTGTTTTTCGGTTCTCAAAATGGCGGACGCTCGGTGTGGTTTGAGCTCTTTAGCATTTTTCACATAAAACTTTTAATAAATAATCAGTAAACAACTTCTCCGCTTCTTTTTGCAGAAAAAAAAACCAACTTTTTACACGAAGGCACGAGTTTCAACTGAATTTTGGAGCTTCGACAAGACGGAGGTTTTTTTCTCCGAGGTCGGCCTGTTAGCTTAGCTCGTAGCTTAGCTTCCCAGCTTTAGCTGCTTTTAACGATCCAAAAATGTGGTTTTGTACAGTTAAAACAGATTTTAAAGAAAAGTGGAGGGGTCAGTGAAGAGCACCGGAGTTGAGCCTTTTCTCATCCAGTGTCTTCAGTAGAAAGAGATTAAATTGAGGTCAATAATTTTCTTCATCATGCGATTAATTGATTTGTCGTTTATCGCGACAGGCCTAGCGCTTTGTGTTCTTTTTCCAGCTTAACAACTTGGAGAAAGCCGTCGCAGCATCTCACACCTTCCTAAAGAAAAACCCAAAGGATCCGTCTCTTACTAAAAACATGAACTACTACAAGACGTTGATGGAGGTGGATGAACACCTCGTCGACCACGAGGAGCAGCCGTACGAGGTCGGTAGCTCCACATCCATGTAGCTCGCCACTAAAAACACTCTGCCCTGTAAAAACAGCGTCTCTGTCCTGCTCAGAGCGTTTTCCTGAAGAGCGTGATGCTCTACAACAACGGAGACTTCAGCGGCAGCGCCAGGAACATGGAGCAGGCCGTCACGCAGTTCTTGGACATCTTCAACCTGTGCTTGGCGGGCTGCGAAGGCTCGTATGAAATCTTGGAGTTCAAAGACTTTTATCCAACTCTGGCAGGTGAGCTGAGAACTGGTTTCTTTTTCAGCGTGAAGGAGACACGAGGGTTCATTGATGTTCCGCTTGTCACAGATCTGTTCACCGACGTGCTGAAGTGTAAGGTGAAGTGTGAGGAGCAGCTCACCCCGAGCGTCGGAGGTTTCTTCGTGGAGAAGTTTGTGGCCACCATGTACCACTACCTCCAGTTTTCATATTATAAACGTAAGACTTGAGGAGAGTCGTTGCAGATTCCGTCTTTTCTTCTGTCTCTTGATTTGAACTTTAACAATTAAAAAAGTCCAAATGTTCCAACTCGTTCAGGACTTTCAGGTTATGACTTTAAATCTGTACATATTAAATATTTTAGCTGTTTACAAAAAATGTCACCAGAGAAATACATCGAGTTTAATCCCTCCAAAAACCCCGTTTGTTTTGAAATTTTCTTCAGCATTTTGCTATTTTTACATTCCCGCTAGCATTTCGCAAATTTTAGCTTTAAGCTAGTGTATTGCTACGTTTTTAGCTAGCATTTAGTCATTTTTACTTTTTAGATAGCGTTTTTCTATTTTAAAGTTTCTGCTAGGGTTTTGTATTTTGCCTTTGGCTAGTTTTGGCTTTAAGCTAAAATTTAGCTACATTTAGTTAGCCTTTTGCTAGTTTTGTATTGAGGTCATTTATTATTATATTTTTAGGGGAGTGGTGGCACAGAGGTTAGAGAAGGTGAGCCTGGAAGGTTGCCGGTTCAACTCCCTGGACTGACAACATCAAAATATGAGTGGGAAAGGTGAAACACCCACACCTGCCTCCACCCTCATCTGCCCCACCCTTGAGCAAGGCCCAGAACCCTCACTATCTGTTCCCCAGGTGCCCTAGAGAGAGGGCTGTGGTTGCGTCGGGAAGGGCATCCGGCGTAAAAACAATTGCAGAGTTTTTGTGGGAGTGAGTTTGCTGAAGAAGAAAGCAGCCGAAATAAGATTTTTATTTTTATTACATTTCGGCTAGTGTTTTGCTGCTTTTAGCTTGAGCATTAAATTTTCCACATTAGCTACTGTTTTGCCAGTTTTAGCTAATGTTTAGCTTCGACAGCATTCCTCTAGCTGCATTTAGGTTTGGAGTGCTGTTCAGCTGTCTCTTTATTTTGGTTGATTTGATCTTTTCCAGTGAACGACGTAAAGAACGCCGCTCCCTGTGCAGCTAGCTACATGCTGTTTGACTCCAGCGACCAGGTGATGCAGCAAAACGTGGCCTATTATCGCTTCTACCGGGAACAGTGGGGCCTCCAGGAGGAGGATTTTCAGCCTCGGCCTGTAAGTAAAACGGCGTGTCGTAAATCCTGACCCTGCTTCTGCTGCTCGAGCCAGACGCAGCCGAAGGTTTTTAAACACAAGTGGAGGGCAGATTATTGGTGGTGGTGTGAACGTGAGCTCCATGTCAGGGTGGTGATTAGAAACCTATATAGTCGTGTAAGGACGCGGCTCGTTTCCCTTCTTTTACACGGTGTAAATTTGGCTGCAGCGGCACATAAACCTCGCTGGCCAGGGAAATAAATTTGGCACCGCTGTAAAAACTTTAAGGCTTTTCAAACCGAGCAGGGAATAAAAGAAAACGGCCGCCCAGATTTGTGGCCGAGCGCGGATTCTTTGTTTACAGCTGCTGCTCGAGTCAACTCGAGCGCTGACGTGTCTTATTTTGCAGGAGGCTCTGAAGTACTTCAACCAGACGATCAAACAGAAGGAGATGCTCGAGTTTGCACTGAACTACCTACAAACAGAGGACGAGGTGCGTTTCTCAGCTGCGTGGCAGACGTTTGTTACAAACTCTACGTTTTTTGAGCAGCAGAGTGAAAACATGAGCAATTATTCCACAGCAGATTTACTATTAAATAGTATTATTAGATTTAGTATTAATTTAGTATATAATTATTCTATACCAGATTTAGTTTAGCATTAATGCAAAACTTCTCATTGGTTTGCTACAGTTTCTGATCTTTTTTTGAAAGGGAAGGTCTTCAACTCCTCACAGCTGCATTAAAGTATGGTTTTATTGTTAATTTGCCAGCATTTACCGTATTTTTCGGTCTATACGTCGCAGTTTTTTGCATAATTTACGTTCCCTAAGACTTATACACCAAAGCGATTTACAGTATTTATGGATGTTTGTCCATATTTATAAACCAATTTTTGGCTGCGATATGCGATATGACCGTTTTCATTCATTCTGACTGAAAATATTGCACACTACCATTTTCAGCCGCTAGATGGCACTCGAGCAGTATGGCATGCCGTTGTGTCATGCAATAGGTAGAAGTGGGTATTAATGACACAATTGGCTTGCCATACCATGCCACCTTCATCCAGTTCACTTGGAGCAAACGTTAAATCAGCTTCATTTCGCTGCGCCGCCCCAACGAAACATCAGATTTGACCATTGAAGTGTGTTTATTAAGTAAAAGTTAAACCGAGACGCACCTTTGCTATAATGTCGAGCAAACAAATAATTGTTTTTAAGTGTTAATCTTGTTAAATTCTTGTTAAAGTCCTCCCGCGGACGTCATTCGCAGTCGATTGATTTTGGGCTCAACGCCGGCCCACATTTCCGGCTCGTCAGCGAGGACGAGTAACAAACGCAACGCGTCAGCGGTGACGCATAATAGATGCGACGTATACGGCGAAGCAACGCATTTATGGATTTTTTCCACTTTATATTTGGACTGACGCTACTTGTAGGGCGGTGAGACGTGTACGGCGGAAAATACGGTAATAAAATAAATAGGAGGATTGAAGAATGTTCAGAGCTGAAGTGTGGGGTGTTTCCTTTTATTACAAACTTTAAAATAAGGTTGAATTTTCACGATGCTGTCATAAACTAGTGGAGCTTTTTTAAAATGTGTTTTCAGCCGCTGCAAACCCACATCACAGTTTAGCGTTGGCGCGCTCAGCGCCTAAAAATGTTTGTTCTGCAACGTTTCCTTGACCTAACAACATTTTTCTGCTTGTAAAGTTATTTTCAAAAAAGGACTAAGCTTTTGGAACTGACCGTTCAACCAGATGCAAAGATTTTCCAGATGCTAAAAAAAAGCATTTTAAGTCTAAACTACTTGTTTTTTCTTTATAAATAAAATGCTGGCAAAATCAAAACGCCATCCCTGTTGTTTTCAGGGCCAGACATCTCACAGCTGATAAAATCTAAACCGTGCATGAGCAGACAGGACGAACGAGCGCAAGAATGGAGACTTTCAGAATAAAAGCAAAGTCCAGAATGAAGGAGAAAAGTTAGGTGGGGGTGGGGGGTGTCGGTTTTCCACCAGCAGAGTGTGGTATGTGGCTGGGAGGTGTCGGCCACTGAAACGATGCCACGACCGTTTAACTCGGGTCAGCCCCTCCCAACACGCTGCCTGGACCGGAGAGGAAAATAGAAACGTGTGAATTACAGAGTAAAGTGACAGATTTACAGGCATGAAGGAAGAGACAAAAACAGCTTGACTTTAGAGGACTGTCTTTTCTTTGACATTTCAGGGGGTGGTGAGTCCGGAGGACACAGCCAGCATCCGCTCAGACCATCCTGATGCCGAGTTCGAGGGGATGGGGGACTACGAGGAGGCCTTCCTGGCTGAATGGTGGCAGGAGCCCAAAACAAAATGGGACGCTGGCGAGGTGGCCGACTGATGTCACCTCTGAGCGGAGGGGTTACACGGGCCCCCCTGAAAACACACCAAAGACCTATCAGACCCAACAGTGGTCAGCCCAAAAAGCACAACTGAGAAATCAAAGGACCATGTGATCAATCGCATTGATCAGGATTAGAGGTCGACGCATTCGGTCTCTGGCTGCCTTTTAGAAAAACTTTCATTGTCCATCACTGACCTGTGTGCCGATCCACGTTCATGGCTTTTCTACGGTTTTTATTATTTAAAGAAACTAATTTGAATTACTACTTGGCTTTTGTGATAAGTTGCTTTTAAATAAAATATTTTATACATTTGTTTGTTTTGTTTTTTTGTCTCCGAAAGATCAAATCCGCTGCACAAGTGACAGAACGGTTGAGGTGGCGTTGCTAAACGATCAGTTCGTTTCATCAGCTGGAAGAAGAGAAGCTCGTTAAAGTCTTAGTTTGGTTAAAAACGTGAGGGGGGATGTAAAGGACTTCATAAAAACTAGAGAAAGTTTAAGAATATGGTGCAAGATTTCTTAGACAATACATTTAAATGACAATAATTTAAATTTCCAACAACAAAACTTAAAATTTACTTCTGAAGCGATGGAGCAGGTTTCTCACTGCTCCTCCATCGTGATAACAGAAGGAATGCATATCGCCCGCCAAAGTTTTAAAGAGGAGCGGTGCGATCTGTTACAGCTCATCGTACGATGTTGGAGATGACTCTCGGCTACTACCACACCAAAGTTTAGCTCGGTGTCTGTAAAGCCGACTAAAATAGACATTTGTGTGTTTACGGCTGTTTAGCTGTGGTGGCCATCTTGAATCAGGTTTACTCCAAAAGCATTACATCCAGTGACATATTTTACTAACAGACAGGTGGACAAACATACACAGTTCATTATAGATTACAGAAGAGGTGGGTTTTCAGGAAAAGTTGCAACTAAATATTTTCGTGAGCCGTGCAGAGATTTGAACTGAAGAATCGATTCTCTTTAAAAGCAGAGCTAACAGTTAAACTAATTTTTATAGTCTGAATATTCTTTAAACCCTTTAAGGTTTTGGATCATTTATACCAACATTCTCTAAATTCCTTGTGGTTTTATTTCTTTCAGGTAACCGTCCTGTAACTATAGGGCTGAATACAGCATTCTGCTTTAATGGACTTTATAGAAGAAGACAAAAGAACTGGAATAAGAGAAAAACTGATGTAGAAATTGTATTTTTGTTTAACACCGTCTCCTATTACAGCAGTCACTCGCTACTTGGCAGTTTGTTTTTCGTGGACTCGCTCTATCGCGGTTTTTCAAAATAAGGTTGGACATGACACACAATTAGCTGATTGACGGATGAGCCGCACAATCGGCATGGACTTTTTATTTAAAATTAATTATTTTAAATGATTTAGCACCTGTGTGCAGCTTACAGCTGCAGGAGAAGCTTCCTCCTGCAGCTGATCAGCTGATCGCCACTCTGCAGTGGAGAAGTGGGCGTGGCCAAGAGCAGCAGGTGGCAGAAATCATGCTCTCTAGAGCGTTTAGTCGTTGTTTAGAATATTGCAAGAGTGTGGGAAGGGTTTAAAACACCAGTGTTTAAAATACAAAAATAAACTACTACTTGTAGTACTATTCCTACTTTGGTTTTTCACTTATCAGGATATGGATCCCCGCGATAAACGAGGGACTACTGCATAAACTAATCATCAATTTCAAACAGTGCAATGGGAGGTGTGGTGATTTTCATTTTCATTTTATTCATTTCAACCTGTTGACAAGCATCACATCCTTTTTCCATGGTTTCTCTCCAAAAAGACCGTCTAAAAAAAAATGGTGCAACATCGGTTTTATTCATTTCCTTGATTGTTTTTAACTCTGTACATTTTCTATTAATAATACGTTTTCCAAAGTGCAAACTTGGTACAAACCAAACCGACTTCTTAAAGTTTTGTACAAGTAGCCCCAAACACGAGAACCTTTTAACTACTGGGGTCATTTTGATGTTTTGGGGGCCAAGGTTCTCTCAGAGGTGATTGACAAACATACAAAAAGTTGTTTTTCGTGAAAGACGACGATGTTTTGCCACGTTTAACGATGCGGGCTGCACGGAAAGATGAATAAATCGCTTTACATTTGCAGAAACAAATAAAACTATTAGCTTTAAATAAAACTCCATACGTTGCTTTTAACATTCAGGGTTGTTGTTTTTTTTTTTCACGTATTTACAAACTTGTGCATACAAGCGCTCATTTTCTGTTTTCGATACATAAAACTGGTATTAATGTGCTGCCTTTTACGGAGCCGTGCCCCTTAAAGGTTGTAAAAAGAGATAAAAACCTGCCCCTGCAGCGGGAGCGTTCAGGTGTGGACAACATGAATGTAAACACGTATTCTGTTCCCTTCAGTCTTTAAAAATCTCTGACACACACACACACACACACACTCCAACAGACACACAGTAAACCTTCTACAAGCTTTGGAAGTGGTGAGACAGATTCAGTGGAATGTTTGTTGGACGTTTAAAACACTAAGTTACGGTCTCTGCTGCTTCTTCTGTGGTTTTTAAAATGATCCCAAAACCTTTAAACCCAGCTCCTCTGTTTGTACCTGAACGTGTTGGGAGGAAGAAGAGGAAAGGGACAAATGGCAGTCAGAGTCGATGATAATCAGTCTGTCCTTAGTCTCTCTTTGGGAAACTCACAGTCCACCGTTGGATTTCTTTTGCCGTTGTAGATTAAAACTGATTACTGTCCGTATAAAGACGCACTTTTAAGGCCCGGCCTCGGAGGAACTGAACCTCAGGTCCATTTCCTTTAAGAAAATAACGATTCAGCTTCTGTCACATTATTTCGGTCTGTGCACTGGTCCAGCGTTTACCTGATGGTAGCTGGTCTGGGTTTTTTTGTGTGTGCGTGTATGTTTGTGTGCAGGCAAGCATTGGACGGACATGTCTCTTATCGAAGTGGTCCACTGTTGATATGCTCTGTATCACGAGAAGAAGACACCAAAGTGCATTCGTAGAGTCCCTGGACCGGAGGAAGACCCTGGTGCCTCCCACAGGGAGAGCCACTCTGGCTTTAGGTGCAGCCTGGACACAATCAGCTGTGCACTGGCAGCAGCTGTGCGAGAGCGAGTCGGCTGGTATGGTGCGACGAGCCCCCGCAGACCCCCAAAAGAAGGCGGAGCTCTCAGAGGAGGACAAACGGAAGGAGCAGACAGGAGCGTGGAGGAAATGACGATGTCTGAAGAGGTTCGGAGAGATTTGAGGACGGAAATGGAAGACTTTTTTTTATTCCCCTCTCCTTCAACGTGGAAACGACAGTGCTAGGAGGAAGACGAGTGGACAGGAGACAGACAGACAGAGACAGATCTTATCCTCCTCCAGATCTGAAACAGAAGGGTGAACGGAGTGATTATTACCTGGAGAAAAGCTGTAGGAAGGTAAAGATGGCTGCACAGACGGCACGAGATGATTGTGATTTACAGGAAAATGCACAAGTATTCCCAGTGAAAAACAAAAAATCATTACAAGCCTAGCATTAATCGAGGGAATGAATATCGCCCGCTGCCATTAATGATAAGCACTTTTCATCAAAATTCATCCTGTGGCTCATGAGATAATCTGGTAACAGACACGTGACACACAGGCTTTGGCAAAAACGTTCTCGTCTGAGATCATTTTATACGAGGTGCATGACACAAGCTGCTTTGGGTTTATTGATGCAACGTAAGGTTATACCTTCCTCTTCGAATGTTCCTGCATCCAACGAGCGCGTAAAAAGAGACAAAAAGGTCAAAACATTTCATCAGCAAGAAAAAGAAGAAAAGACCATCTAATTAAAGTTACTACAATTATCGCGTTATTAGCTTAAAATGCAACAAACGAACAAGAATTAACAAAACGGCTGTGCAAGAAAAGTTTATTTTTATATAAAAGTACAACATTTTGATATGAGCAACGATCAGATTTCAGGACAAATCTGTCAAGTTTTTGATCCGCTTGTTCTTTCTAGAAGCTTTTCTTTCCAGTTAGAAAATCACGTGCAGCAGCAGGGCGTGCATGTGATTTACAGTAGATGTGGTACTAATCCCCAAAACACTGAAGAAACCATCATCAAATCGAACTACTAAGAGAAACCTACAACTCATCATGCACACGTGCACAGACGCTTACCTGTGGCCCTAAAAGGACTGGCTGGATGCAACAAACAAAACAACCAGAGCTTTCAACACGCAGCACATTTCATCAGCCAGTAGCTGCAGTCCTTTTAGACCTTCATTAGTGAACAGCAGCAAGCATGCATAGGTGAAATGTGTTGCTTCAGTGAGGGGGTTGCAGGGGTTAGAATGATGCCTGAAGAGGAAATGATCATGTCAGAGCGCCTAATTTAGACCGCTGTAAAAAGATCTGTGGAAAAGTCTTGAATCGTACCTCGTTTCTTTTTTTCCCGGCAGCCAGATTTTCTTGTAAGATTTTAAAGTGTTGTTGATCAGCAGTTCTCATGGGTTTCTGAAGTCGTTGTGTGTGTGTGTGATGTTAAGCATTCACACTATTCTTTTCCTGTTTATATTTATTAAAGTCTCTACACTTCCATGTTTTTCGGCATCTTTCTCGTTCCATAATTTTTTTCAATAAATCATAAATCAAAGCGTTCAGCTCAGTCAGGACAATCCTGATATGACTTTTAGTTTTGGTGCAATTTTAGCTTTTAAAAAATATTTTTTCCTCCTCGTAGAAAATTAATTGAGCTCATTTTACATCCTTCACATCTTTAGATACGTTTACAATCTTTTACTGCTTCTTTCACATTTTGTTCCAGTTCAGCTTCCTTGTGCAACTTAAAAAAAAAAAAAAAAAAAAATTCAGCTACTTTAAACTGTTTTTTGCTCCAGTTCAGCTTTTTTCTGCTAACTACAACATTTTGTGCTTCTTCTGGCGACTTCTGCTAATTTCAGCTTGTTGTGTTTCTTTCAGCTTTTGTCTGCAAGTTTCAGCTATTTTTATTTCAGCTAATTCCATTTTATTTTATTTTTTTAAACACTCATTTCAACTTCTTCCAGCCCAATTCAGCAAAAACATGCTCTCTCTCCACTTCCTTCTGGTAATTTAAGCTTCGTTCTGCCTTTTTAGCTACCGTTCAGCTGTTTGTTTTGTTGTTGTTAATTTCAGCTTTTTCAGATCATTTACAATTTTTTGTGCTCAATTCTGCTTTTTTCCAGCCTAATTGGGCAAATTGTGCTCGCTCCACTTTCTGCTGGTAATTGGAAATTTTCTGCTTTTTCCAGGTAATTTCCACTTTTTTTTTTTTTGCTCATTTCTGCTTCTTTAAACTCAATTGGGCACAACTGTGCTCTCTCTGCTTTCTTATGGTAATTTAAGCTTATTTCTGCATTTTTAGCTACTATTCAGCTTTTTTTTTTTTTTTTCAAATTTCTTCTTTT